GAGGAAGGGAGAGGGAGAGAGAAACATCCATCAGATGCCTCCTGGGGATTGAGCCAGAAACCTGGGCATGTGCCCGGATTGGAAATCGAACCGGCTACCTCTTGGTGCACAGGACCATGCTCAGCCGCTAAGCCACACCAGCCAGGGCTTTCCTGGGCCTTCGAGTCTCAACCTTCCAACCCCTCCCAGACAGCCTACGCCCGGTGGGACAAACTGACTTCCCTCAGTCTGTTCGAGAAACACCCACCATGCAGCTCTGCCACGGCCTGGGCTGCCGTGTCCTGCTGGACTCCAGACGACAGTCCCCTCCAGGCACTGGGAAACCCTCATCTGTCCTCAACATCCACCCTCCCTCTCCTCCCTCCTGTTGTTCTCATTGCATGTGGCACCTCCACCGCAGAGTATATTCCATTCAAACGGTCACTTCTTTTAGATCCAGGCTGACAGTGGCCCAAGAGTGACAATTGTATGTTATTCATTCTCATACCCACCCGCCTCCCTGGTCCAGCCCAGGGCCTTGCTCGGAGAAGACACTCATTCAATGTCAAACGTCAGAACCCAGGCGGCAGAGAAGGGCACGAGGCCTCCTTAACCCACAGAGACCTGCAGGTCTGCGGCCTGAAAGGTTAAGCTGCCACCTGATAACGTTCAGGGGTTTAAAAGATACAGGCGTGCCACCTGCTACTCACCTACATTAAACATTAAAAGCAGAATAGCCTATAAAATTCAAATTAGGATAAAAGTGAGGGAAATATACTTTTCTTGCCCTGACCGGGAATTGAACCAGCAACCTCTCGGTGCACAGGACAACGCTCAGCCAACTGAGCCACACTGGCTGGGCAAGACGTGGACTTTTTATGCCATCCTTTTGTCCCTGGACCACGGGGGCTTCGAAGCTCAGAGGCTGGTCTCGTTAAAAGTCACATGTGTGGTCACTGTGTGGACCAGCCAGCTGCTGTCGGTGCCAGTAGCCAAATGTTATCTGAGAGAATGAGGCCCTGGAGCTGCCACACTTTTCTGTTTTTATTTAGATTGTTTTTCAAGAGAAGCCAGAAATCTGGATTTGAGTTTGTAAACACTGGCTCTGTGGGCCAAAGAAACAGCCCAGTGGGCATCGTGGCTCAGGGGTTTTCCTTCTCAACTACAGGCCAAAACAAGGCGGTTTCTCCTTCACGGCCACTCATGTGCCATGTGTGCCATGTACAGTCAGCCTCAGCCGGCCACACCGCCTGCTGCTGTCACAGGCCTGGTCCGAGCTGTAGGTCTGGCTCTGGGGAGTGTTAGTGCAGGAGGGGAAACAGAGGCAGAGCCCATGTGGCCAGAGGACCCTGTGGGAGCCGAGTCCTGAGCAATCCATTGCATGTTGGCTCTGAGAACAGACAGGAGACGAGCCTGGGAAGCTGGGCTTCTCTCTCCTCCACACGTGAGACATGAAGCACTTGATGGAAATGAAATGAAATGAATGAAGGGAGGAGAAATTAACAGTGAACATCAAATGTACAGGATGAAGTGGGAAAAAGAAGTCTCTAGTTTTCATCTCAGCCAGATCCTGGAGTTCCTTCGCAGCTCGATCGGCCCATCATTTCTCCCTTGAGTCTGGAATGGGTCTAGTAATATGTGTAATTATGTCTCTCTCTGTGAGGAGGCAGAATTCATGAATTTTTAGACATCGTGATAAAAATTCAAGTTCTGCAGTCTAATGATTAAATAAAATCAAAGGGGGACATACAAGAGAGAAACAAAAAGGCTTTATTTAAATGTTAATTTAGTCATTTAAATAAGTAATTAAAAGGAGTAGATTAGTAACGAAAACAAGTACAGACATAAAAAGAGCAAAACTCACATAAGAATAACAACAGGAGGCTTTCTTTAAAAAAAAAAAAAAAAGACTAGTTTTCCCTTCTAAGTATTTCCATGAACTATCTACAGCTCTCACCCAAGCCTCACTGGAGGGAGTCTAATTTCTTTGAAACATGAGGCTGATTTTTTAAAAATGTGATTAAAATGATTGAATAAATGGCATTGAATCGGCCATTATGGAAATTACCACATGGGGAAATAATGCTCGAAATTTCACCACCCACCAAGATGAACCCTTTTCAGAGTTCAACGTTCACTCTGTAGCCTTTTCAATGCACACAGATGGAATTCACAGTTGCTGATTAAAGTGTAACATTGTATCTTCTGTGCTCATTTAACCTAACATTGTAACTATATTTTTCATGTTACTATGTAGCCTTCATAACTATTAGTTGAATGGTGGCATCATATTTCATCTATTTTTATCTATCTTATTTCTCTAGATCCAGTGTCTTTTTATTTTACTTTTTAGATTATTTACTTATAAAAAATTCCCTGGAATGAGTGAAAATGCATAAATATTCTTATTCATCTTAAATGACTTGCCCAGTTGCTTTCCAAACACCTGGAACAATTTAAATGATACAATGAGTGACTGTATCAGTCCTACCACTTCTTGTCTTACCACTGCCGGCATTATCAATAAAGACACATAAAGTGGGAGTGTCGCACACAGGTCACCCCACTGGGTTATTCTGAGCAGGTCTGTTAGGTTGATGCCCATTAAGTGGAGGTCAAGCCAGTTTGTAGACCATCTTGGTTTCCTCATCTGAGGAAAGGGGGTTTGAATGACATCATCTTCAGAGACTGTCCCGGCTTGAAATACCTAAATCTCAAGCAAACGGTAAACACTCTGCCCTTCTGAGATGTTTTGCTCTATTATGTCTTAGAAGAGTCGGAGAGATGGTGCCAAGTTTCCATAAGAATTACAGCCGCTAGGAAACATAATTCAGCTCAGGAAGATGTATGAGGTCTGTTTTAGATGCACTTCTACTGGAAAGAAAGACAGAGACAGATAAAGAAAGAAAGAACAGAAAGACAGATAGAATAAAAGAAAGAAAGTGGGAGGCAGGGAGGGAAGTCAGTATTCTACTCAGTAGAGAAGTTTCATGAGCTTTTTCAGGAACCAGACGGCATGGCCCAAATATCCAAACACCTAGTCTGAGCATAAAATGTATTCACAGCATTTCCTTTTATATATATATATATATATTTTTAGAGAGAGAGGAAGGGAGAGGGAGAGAAAAACATCAATGATGAGAGAGAAACATCGATCAGCTGCCTCCTGCACACCCCCTACTGGGAATCGAACCCCAAACCCGGGCATGTGCCCCGACCGGGAATCAAACTGGCAACTTCTTGGTTCAGGGGTCAATGTTTAACCACTGAGCAACACCAGCCAGGGCTAAAGGACATTTTAAGGCTCCGTGCCTTACATGGAGCAAGCCCGCCAATGGGCGGGAGGAGGTCTTGCCTTTTTCTTGCCCTAACGTGGTTTCTGAACGTGCCTCCTCACTTGGCTAAAACAACTTCAGTTGAAACCTCCAGCGTGTCACAGGCTATCGATCTGAGAACAGAAGGCGGTTCCCAGGCTCGTATTTCATCGCTAAGTGCAGCTGCACCCCGCTTTCACTGAGCTGACACCCTCGCGGGGAGTATCGACGCCGCCGGGGCATTAAAACGCACTTACCCTCACGCGGTGCAATCGCTGCCTCCTCCCGATTCCTATCAGAAACCCATTCCTGCAACCGGGGTGCTCCTAAGTGGCTTGAGTTAGATTTTCGTAGGGGAGTCCTTGGATCAAAGATGATTTTTTTTTTTTTAATGCAAAAACACAGGCACATTCGCTCTTTCTGAGTCTCACTGTGCAGAGTATGATTGAATTCCATGAAGCTATTGTTTTGGGAGCTACACCACGAGGCAGCCTTGCTGGACTTCCCTGAACCAGCAAACTATTTACTTTATTTATTTATTTTTAATCTTCACCTGAGGATATTTTTTCCATTGCTTTTCAGAGAGAGGAAGGGAGGGAGAGAGAGACACACACACATCGATTGGTTGCCTCTTGCATGACCCCCGACCAGGGCTGGGGATCAAACCTGCAACCCAGGTATGTGCTCTGGACTGGGAATCGAACCCTCGACTCTTCAGTGCGGGAGGTGACGCCCTAACCGCCGAGCCACGCCGGCCGGGCGGACTGAGTCTTGTTTGAAAGCACAAACACGACTTCCTGTCATCTCAGTAAATACAATCAGGGCCTATACGAATATTCCCTGAGCAGGTAGGGATTAGTCCCCCCCCTTTATTTATTTTATTTTATGTTTTCCCCTCCTCACCATTTATTCCCCATACACTCTCTTCCACCTCCTACCTGATGCCATTGTAATTAACTATTTGTTAATAACAGGAAAGGAGCAAAAGGGAGGCCAAATATTTTACAGGCATGTCATTCGGGCAGCTTCACCAGGAAGCTAAAGTTTGCACTCCCCAGGGCCCAAGGGCGGGGAGACAGGTGCATGCCCCGTAAAGTTGGGGTGACCTAGGGAAGGTACCTGCCTGTCACTCACACCTGGGAACGAGTCATTGGCCAGAGTGGGTGAGGCCACCGCAAGGGCTCAAGATTCAAGACATATAATTCCACGCAAATAAAGATCACTCATGCTCCCGTGGCAGGCTCAGAAAATTCTTTTTCTTGAGATACCGTAAGAAGTCCACCCCCGGCACCCAGAGGGGGAAAGGATACCCCAGTTTCCCCGATAACACACCCACCCCCTGAGATTAGTTTGCTTTTTAAGACGAGATTGAGCAAGTCCCCCCGAACCATCTCCTCTGCACGGTCACGACTGTCCTGTCCATGCGTGAAGCCCCGGGGCTTTATCTTTCAATTATATATGATCTGCAACACCTGTTTTCAGTACCGGCAGAGAAATTTCTGGAACACCGGGAGAGACTGGCCTTTTATCTTATTAAATTAGTGTGGTTTCAACTTCACATTGTCTATTGTTGCTCAGCCCGCAGTGTGACAAGTTCATCGCTTCCGCTTGGCTATCCTGGGAGCCGAGACGCAGAGTCATTTTCTGCTTTACTGACTTTCAGGAGAGACCGAGGAAATGATCCCGGTCCATGAAGAGAGCACTTACGATTTTTTTGCCTTCTATTAACACTGTAGACAGATTGGTCTCCACATTGCGCAGGATCACGCTTCCTCTCTGTTCTCTGTAGATGAATTCTTTATCTGCAAGAGAGGAAATTAAAAAGGAGCCATGAGACACGCAGGGAGCTCACCCAGCCTTTGATGGACACTTATGTGGAAATGAATGGACAGCTTGTGAAACAATGTATCCTGCACTTCATCAGAGGGGCCTTTAAATACGGGGGATACTTTTAGTTCCTCTTAACCTTACGTGAAGCTTGTCTCTGAATTTTATCTCCTAGTCTACACACAGATGTATAAAACACAATGTACACTCACAACATTTTTAGAATATTCCAGGCTTTTTTTTGAGGGGGGGCACAAAGAGTGGGCGCAGACAGCAGGTTATTAAAGGACCTGCTACCAGAAGGGATGGAAGATAACTGGCACTAAACAGACTCATTTCTTATATAGTCAAACCTCGTTTCTCACATGTCTCCCATCTGGAACAATTGGCCTCTCAACCCGACACCCTTTCATGCTGACACCTGTGTGAACAGCCACGCGTCTCTCAGGCGACAAAGGAGAGAAAGTGTGAGTATGAGTCAGTTTACGTCTAAACCGCACGTTGTTAACATCTCAGGAAACTGTGCTATAAATGTTTTCTCGTTTGTTTGTTTTTGCTTTAGTTGCTACCTATTATCATTATTAAATTTTCATGTTTTACTGTACAGTTCATGTCCTTTTTATTAAATTTTCATTTACACTTCATGTCTTTTTTTGTTTTTAAAGCCTTTATTTATAAACAGTACATTAGACATGTGCCGTATATCAGAAAGGTTAGAACAGGAAATCACCGCGGGTCTGGAACAGATCAATTCAATTTATATTATTTCTAATGGGAAAAAATGCTTAGGTTTTCAAACAGCCTCCCGGAACTAATTAAGTTTGGGAACCAAGGTCCCGCTGTATCTGAAATGCTGGGGTGGAACCTATGCGTGTGCTCACGCTTATATCTGTATCGATATCCCGCGAAACTGTTTTCATTTTGCTGCTCCTGAAGGAGCTGGCTGTTCCTCTGAGGTCTTAGAATAGCTACACTGTATCCTCTTTGCTGCTCCTGGAGGAGCTGGCTGTTCCTCTGAGGTCTTAGAATAGCTACACTGTATCCTCCGTGACGCTGATATTTTGTATCACTGATCATCCCCTTAGAAAACGAATAAGACACGGTCCACGGAACAGCGTGCACGTAGAGGCGTATTCGCAGGCACGCAGGTGTGCGTGTACCTGCGTGTACACACACTGGGAGGGAAACGGACACTTTCTGAGGGTAGGATTGCGGGTGAGGGGCGGGACACAAAATGGGAAGGAGGAAAAATACTCTCTTCCTGGGTGAAGGTGGCAACATGGAGCCGGTTTGAGGGCAAATGCATTTCACACAGTAACGAAGAACCGACCGTGCGGCTGATGGGTTCCGGTGGCATCATCCGTCCCAGTCTCCCTCTGTTCCGCTTCACAGGCTCACACGCTTCTCTGTTTTCTTCCTTTCTTCTGCTTGCTCGGGCTTTCATGTTCTCCCCTTTTTCTAGTGGAAACCTAGATCTTGGGTTTCATTTCCCATCTTTTCAGAAAAAACTATTACAGCCAAAAGTTTCCCTCTAATAGGGGTGGCGTTAGCATGAAATAGAAGACACAGAAAATTCTATTTACAGTAAAAACGGCTCTAAGGGACCCTGCCAGGAATTCCATAATTGGGTGGACTTAGGGCCTTCGGGCTGAAGAAACGGGAGAAAGAAACGGCGAGTGAACTAGCAGAGGTTACCGCATCCTGAGAGCGGAAAGGGCGCCCTGACGATACTGCTAATAAGCCCTGGTCGGTTCGCTCAGTGGTTAGAGCACCGGCCTGGGGACTGAAGGGCCCCAGGTTCGATTCCAGCCAAGGGCACGCACTTCGGTTGCAGGGGCAACCGGTGGATGTTTCTCTCTCTCTCCCCCTTCCACTCGCTCTGAAAAGCAATGGAAAAAAATATCCTCGGGTGAGAATTAATAGAAAATCTGTCATCGTCAAACAAGGTGACCTCACTCCCTGCCCGTTCCCCCCGACTTCTGTCCCGTGATGTACGATTTGAGATCTCGCTGGTGGGACGGGGGGACCGGGCCCTGGAATTCTGATCTGTTCCCCTTCCCTAGAAGGAACCATCCTAGTCTCCTTCATTGTTTCTCCACAAGGCCGACCCCTTCCGCAGGCGGGAGCAACGCGTTGCAACAGAAATGAGGAAAATTGTCACTCTTAGTTTATGTTCTATTTTTTTCACCTGGGAGCAAGGAACTTAAATGTTCGAGGTTTTAGGGACGTGGCGTTACGCCCGGAGGCTACCGAAAAGGACTCTTAGAATTAGCGATTCTATCAGGAAACATAACAGATCGCCCTTTAAGCACTTTACGTAACATTACACGCAGAGGCACACGGAGGGCAGTTGGGTTCATCAAGAAGAAAGAACAAAAAAATCGTTGTCTCTGTGCTGGGAGGATCTCAAAGCCAAAACAGNCATTTCTGTGCTGGGATGACCTCAAAGCCAAAACAGCTTTCGGAAAGCGAGAGAATCTCATGGATTTCAAANGTAGCTTATGTTCTATTTTTTCCACCTGGGAGCAAGGAACTTAAACGCTCGAGGTTTTAGGGACGTGGCGTTACGCCCGGAGGCTACCGAAAAGGACTCTTAGAATTAGCGATTCTATCAGGAAACATAACAGATCGCCCTTTAAGCACTTTACGTAACATTACACGCAGAGGCACACGGAGGGCAGTTGGGTTCATCAAGAAGAAAGAACAAAAAAATCGTTGTCTCTGTGCTGGGAGGATCTCAAAGCCAAAACAGCTTTCGGAAAGCGAGAGAATCTCATGGATTTCAAAGCTTTTTCCATTAACCGGACAAAGTCAAAACACAATCACCTTTTAAAGCACACACACGGTTCAGAAGGAAAACGTGTAACGTTTATGAATTGGGTGCGATGGTTCCGGGAGGAAAAAGGCAGCTTTCTGCCCAAGACCTTCATGACGTTTACTGTTTGTCACCGGACAACTCTGTGGGTCCCCGAAGAACCTGCCACCGGACGATGTGAGAGTTTACGGCAAGCGTTCGTCGGGCCTCAATCCAGACGGTCCCGTTGCGTTAATATTTGAACGTTTTAACAGATTCTGTGAGGGTCGTTTACAGCGTCGGGAAATTACATTACTGACTGTGTTCGGAGAGAGCCATTTCCTCTGGACATACGAAGGCTGTGAGAGCAGCACCGCGGCAGGTTTGCCAGAGGGTTTTAGGCCAGTGAAAGGCTGAGTGGTTACTGTTCAGTTACNGTGGAAAGGCTGAGTGGTTACTGTTCAGTTTCCGCCGCATATTCGTGCGTAGGAATCTGTTCTAGGGTTTTGCCGAATTTCACCCTGTTTGACGATGAACAGTGACTCTGTTTCCCAGCCTTGTAGCTCCTCTCTCCTTTGCCCNAGTGAAAGGCTGAGTGGTTACTGTTCAGTTACCGCCGCATATTCGTGCGTACGAATCTGTTCTAGGGTTTTGCCGAATTTTACCATTTGACGATGAACAGTGACTCTGTTTCCCAGCCTTGTAGCTCCTCTCTCCTTTGCCCACACGTTGTTATGGTCACGACGACTCTGTAATTTCCTTGACAGGTCGGTTGACGTGAGCTAGGAGGGATATTATTAGACTTCTCAACAAAACATCAGTGACGCAAACCTGGGCTCCTTTACCTGCTCCTAGTTCATCTTTAAACATATTTTTTGGGAATCCACATAGGTACATAGATTCCTCTCTCTCTCTCTTTTTTTTTTTTTTTTTAAATACTCACCAGAGGACATGCTTAGAGAGGGAAACATCGGTTGGTTGCCTTCCGTATACTCCCCGACCGGGGATCAAACCTGTAACCCAGGTATGTGCCCTGACCCAGAATCGAACCTGCAACTTCTTGGTGCCCGTGGGATGGTGCTCAACCAACTGAGCTCGACCAGCCGGGCCCTACCTGCTCCAAATTCTCAAGCACATGGTTGATTAATGTCTACGGCAGAGTCTTGGTTCAGACGCCCCAACATCCCTGCTGATGTCGTCTTGCAAATTCCTTTGAGGTCTGATTTAATCACCTCCTCTAACAAGTCTTTGAAGACCAACATGTCCCTGTGTGGGGACATCTTTTCTTTGAGTTTAAATTATTATGCTGGGGTTGTTTTTTTTTTGAACCCCTTCGTTTCATTGTACTTTCTAAATATTCTTCTGTTGAACCAAGTTCATCATTTTTTTTACAGAACTTCCCCATCATTTCCTAAGCACCAAGGGCCTTTAATCACTCAGCCAAAAGTGCTTTGTATTATGAAGGGCATATGGTATCAAATACCTGATACGGTGAACGCTCATCAGAGAAAAACGTGCCGTAGATTAGCTAATATATTTTGTTCACCTGGAAGTCCATTTCTGTATCTGTTGCAGACTTTGGAAAACCCAAAGTGCCCCGGCCTAGAAAAATTCCTAAGAAAATTGTTCCCATCCCTGCTAATCAATTACTATTGGGGGGGGGGTTATGAGTACACGTTAATTAACCTCCCAGTGGAAAGTGCAGAGAGAAATGTTTGACGGGGCTTCTCCAGGACACCAAGCCACGTCTAGCAAGATGTCGGGGAGCACCCTACATCTCCTATTCCAAACAGAGATCTCTATTTCAACAGAGAAAAGCAAAACGTTTTCCCTCTTGTGAGAGTTCTGGGTAATCGGGTGTTGTGTGTTTTTAGCATCTCATCCAGAAGAGAATGAAAGAGAAATCGGCCCAGCCGGGCGTGGCTCAGCGGTTGAGCGTCGACCTGGGATCCAGGCGATTGGGGTTCGATTCCCGGTCAGGGCACATGCCCAGGTTGCGGGCTCGATCAATGACTCTCTCATCACTGATGTTTCTATCTCTCTCTCCCTCTCCTTTCCTCTCTCTGAAAGCAATAAAGATATTAAAAAAAAAGAGAGAGAAAAGAAAGAGAAATTGCCTTTAAATAGGTGATTTGGAAGAATTNAAAAAAGAGAGAGAAAAGAAAGAGAAATTGCCTTTAA